GCCTCATGAGTGCTGGGATTAAATGTGCGAGCCACCACTGCCAGGCTAGAAGTTTCTTTTATAGTGGGCAGCAGTTACTGCAGAGACTCAAAACCAGCCAAAGTGCTGACGACCAGGGACTGTCAATTGCTCAGCCACAAAGGAGACATCTACATCACCCCCTCCAGGGTTCAGAGAACATCAGAGAGGGGACAGAGGAATCAGACGAGGGGAAGGAAGGAAGTGCTGTGGAATACTCTCTTCCCAACATGGCATGGCTGTTACATGATAACTCCTAGCAGCTGCACAAGATTGGCCCCATCAATACTCTGTGCTGGACAGGGGAGGAAGCTCGTGAGGCTCCACCCCTGCCTGAGGAGCTATTGACAATTAATGGTGGCCGGGATGGGAGATTTTCCCTACACTAGCCATGGGAAATAACACCTCACCTGTGCTTATGTAAACAATCCTCCGGACTGGAGAGATGGCCCAAAGTTTAAACACACACACACACACACACACACACACACACACACACACACACACAGTGTGTTGAGACAAGAGAGGATAATTTGGGGTGAATATAATCAAAATACATTACTACATGCTAAACAGGTTTGAAGTCATAAAAAGTAAAATAAATAAATGAAAGAAAAAGCAACAAGAAAGAAAATGAAATTGACTTGAACAAGTAAAGGGAATTTGCAGGTGAACACTACTGGAAAGTCCAGAGGTTACTGGCATCAAGAAAGGTTTGGTTGGGGCCTAAGTGATTTAAACAAATCCTGGAATCCTGCTTTCCATTGATTGTTCCATTACCTCATGGTTTATTTTCAGAAGTTTGGAGGCCTGCAGGATTTCACACAGGAAAGACAAACTCTCAAAACTCACACATGTCATGTCACTGACCTTGGTGGCCCTGACTGAGGTCCTGTGCTCATTTAAAGCACTCATGGAGACCAGAGAGAAGGGGCGTGCTGATTGGATAAACCTAACACAGTTTACTCTTGACCTGTGCGCAATGGTTCAGAAATTTGAAGTAGTGTTAAAAAGAAAGGGGAGAGAAATCCTATAATCTATTTAAATGTGTTCAGGGACTGGGGATGTTGCTCAGTAGTAGAGCACTTACCTATAGTATGCACAAAATTGTAGCTTAATCCCCAGCGCGAGCGAGCACACACACACACACACACACACACACACACACACACACACACACACACACCTAGCACTTGAATCCAGTCACTCATGTATTTGCTTCTCCATTAGGCAAACTTTTCTATTTTCTTTTTCTTTTTCTTTTTTTTTTTTTTTTTTTTTTTGGTTTTTCGAGACAGGGTTTCTCTGTGGCTTTGGAGGCTGTCCTGGAACTAGCTCTTGTAGATCAGACTGGCCTCGAACTCACAGAGATCTGCCTGCCTCTGCCTCCCAAGTGCTGGGATTAAAGGCATGCGCCACCAACGCCCGGCTTAGGCAGACTTTTCTTTAAATCTCACAATATACAAGGCCTTGAAGCTACCCCCCTCCCCATTGCTAAGGCTAAAACCCAGGACCTCAAACATATTGGGCAAGCACTGAACTACTAAATCTATACCCCCTCTCCTGGGGTTTGGAGCCAGGGACTCTCATATGTAGCTCACACTGACTTTGAACTCACTGATCTGTTTTGAGATCATTCATTTCCATGCAAGAGCAAGTAGCAACAACTGGACTTTAGAATAGGGGCAGCATTGTGAAAGACACTAAGAAAACTAGTTTCCCAAGAATGTCCTTATTTTTAAGTTGGTTCCTCACATTTCAACTTTCTGGGAAAGAAAAATAAACAACTAATCAACTATCCACACACCATACCAGGCGTACGCATCTTCCTACTGTATCATTCACTATTGGAGTTGGAGGCTGAATAGATTACTCTAAACTAATGGTTCTCAACCTTCCTAATGTTGCAACCCTTTGACACAGTTCCTCGTGTTGTGGTGACCCCCAACCATAAAACTATTTTTGTTGCTACTTCATAACTTTAATTTTGCTGCTGTTATAAATTGTATTGTAATTTTCATAATGTGTTTTCTGGTGGTCTTAGGTGACCCCTATGAAAAGGGTTGTTTGATCTCGAAGGGGGGTCTCAACCCACAGGTTGAGAACCATTGTGAGAACCCCATAACTTAAGACCTCTTCAATTCTTCCTGAGACTGGACATGTAGTTTGAGGTTAGAATGCCTACCTAATATATGCAAGGCTTGAGTTCAGTCCCCAGCCCTTGAAATGAAAGTGGAGGAAGGAATCCTTTCTGGATACAAGGTAAGAATGATATTGTAATTTGACATTGATACCTGAAACAGCACTGTGTTTTGAACCATCAAGGAGAGCCAGCACATTTCACTTCTTGGGAGAAATCACTTATAGATTGAGTTTGTAGTATTCGGCAGCTGAAGTTAGAGGTCTCTGTTTCCCCACCCTCCATGGTCCACTGAGCCCTGCTTGGAATGAGATCAGAAAACTAAATCTCAGTAGAGCATAGTGTTACACTTGTCTTTAATCCCAGCACTTGGAAGACAGAGCCAGGAGGAACTCTGGGTTCAAGACCAGCTGCTCAACCCAGTGAGTTCCAGGACAGTCAGAGCCACATAGTGAGACCCTGTCTTGAAAAGAGAAAACTAAATCTCTCCCCTGTGTGCTCCATAAAATAAGGCACAAGACTTACTCATGCATCTTGGACATTGTCACTGCCTGAGCAGGAAGTTGCAAGGCGATAAGGGATGACTAAGGCCTTTCCTCAGGCTCCCTTTGGGAAAACACATTAAGGCAAGAGAAGCACAAGGGAACCACACCTTGTCTGAGCCTGCCTCTGTACACAGTATTTTGAAAGACCCAAGAAGTCGCATCCATGAAAAGGGGGAGCTCCTGTAACTGTGCCATTCCCGGTGTCTGTCTGTCTTAGCTGACTGTATCTGTGGCCGAGGGGATCATTTATATTTCCTTTCCTTGGCATTCAGTGGGATGCTCTCTGCCTCATGGTGTAGGCTTTAGTACTTGTTCTATCGTCGTGGCTTTAGGGAACGAAAAGTTGGGAGGCATGAGAGGAAGTGAACAATGGAAGACAAGCGGGAAATAGGGGAAACAATAGAAGGCTGGCAAATGCTAGGAAGTGGACTCCCTTGTGATCCTGCCAGGGTTAGACTCTCTATCTATGGTAAATGTTGTCATGGGTATTCTTTAGATGATGTTGAGGGACAAAATGGCCATCTAGTAGAAAGGTCTAATCTATTTTGTACATGTGCGTGTGTGTGCTTATGTGCATGTGTGTTTGTGTGTATGCAGTGTGTTTGAAAACCAGAAGATAACCCAAGGTGTCAATGCTCACGAGTTGTCTATCTTGATTTTAAGACAGGGCCTCTCATTGGTCTGGGACTTGCCAAGTGGGCTAGGCTGGGAGTCATGAGTCCCAGGGATTTGCCTGTCTTCATCCACCCAGCACTAGGATTCCAAGGGCTTGACACAACAACCTAGCTGTTAAATGAGGGCTTTAGGGACTAAAACTCAGGTCCTCATACTTGAAAAACAGGCACTCTGTGGCCTGAGTCATCTCCCCCGGCTCGGGCTTGAACTATTTCTGCTGTTTTATGTGACTGGGTGTTTTCCCTGCATGTATATCAATGCACCATGTGTGTACAGTATCTGCAATGTCAGGAAAGAGTTTTTGGGTTCCCTGGAACTGGAGTTACAGATGGGTGGGAGCTGCCATTTGGGTACTGAGAATTGAACCTGTGTCCTCTGGAAGAACAGCTAGTGCTCTTAACCTCTGGGCCATCTCTCTAGTCCCCTGACCTATTTCTAAGTCTACCCAGAGAGAATCCAGACCCAAGCTTGGTGTTGGGCTATGTGCAGGACTTTCCCCAGGAGCTGATCATTCCTGATATTTCTGGCCTTAAGGGATGAACTCTCTTGAGAATGGAATGCCAGCCAATGTTATCTTCTTTCTGTGTTCCTCGGCTTCCAAACAGGGCTGATGTCCAGTGAGAGGCTTAGTCGGACTTTTGGAAGGTCTTTCTGCATCCCGTGCTCCTGCACCCTCCTGCTCTGGACAGCACCTGCCTTTGGAGTTCCCGGCAGCTAGTCTCCTTGCCTCATCTTTGGGAGAAAAGCCTGTCTAGGTGATGCGCTCAGACACTCTGGACTTCTCTGAAGAAGCAGCTTTCTAAAGCAAGTGAGTTCTGATTGGTTTTTGTTTTGTTTTTTGTTTTGTTTTGTTTTGAGACAGGGTTTCTCTGTATTGTTTCGGAGACTGTCCTGGAACTTGCTCTGTAGATCAGGCTGGCCTCGAACTCACAGAGATCCGCCTGCCTGCGCCTCCCCAGTGTTGGGATTAAAGGCGTGCGCCACCAATGGCCGGCTCTGATTTTTTTTTTAATTTGTTTTTATTTCATGTGCATTCATGGTTTACCTGAATGCAAGTCTGTGTGAGGTGTCAGATCCACTGAAACTGAACTTTCAGACAGTTGTGACCTGACATGTGGGTGCTGGGAATTGAAACCCGCTTCTCTGAACGAACAGCCACTGCTCTTGACCTCTGAGCCATCTCTCTAGCCTGAGATTTAATTTCTGGACTTAACCTGGAGGTTGGTGAGTGGGTGTACACACCAAATCCAAGACTTGGCTTGCTAATGACTTCTTACAAGGGTCATTTTCTCCTATATCAGGAAGTCAAGAGATCCCTCCCTCTCTCCCTCTAGCCCCCTCTCTTTCTTAACTCATGGAACCCAGGCTGGCCTCAAACTCACTGTGTAGCCAAGCATGACTTTGCTCCAGACCTTCCTGCCTCCACGTCTCAGTGATAGGATTACCGATGTGCACCTCATAGCTGGCTTCTTTTCATAGCAATACCTTGTGGGCCCTTTCTGACAGCAATGCAAATTCTAAGGAAGCAGTTAGTGTGTCTAGGGTAATGAACTTCTCTTGGGACCTTCCCTGGCCCTTAATTAGCTTTATTGCCTAATTCCAGGCTCATTCCTACTCCTCTAACTCTAGAAAACTCTAGGACAGACTGGTTTTGCTTTTACCATCTTCACCTGGGCTTCAAGATTCCTAGCAAGTAAACACCTCCTCATTGCTCCATCTTAGGCTCACCCTGGGTTTGTTTCTAAGTCCCTAGTAATTATATGGTCCTCCCAGGTCCTCAGGAAGGTGGCTGCCTTCTCTGCTTTATTGACTAGATTTGTCCTAAACTCCTGCCTGATTCACCACCTCACATGCTAGACTTCCTGGGCCTTCAGTCACTGGGCAGCTCCCCCAGCAAAGGCATTCCAATGTTAATCTTTTCACTTGGGGCACATAGCATGTGTTCACTCACCCTTAATTTTGAAATGTTTAGTAAGCAGAAAACATCACATCTGTGTTATTGACTGTGTATCCTTGGGATGTCTAATATCGTGTAATGTTTAGTATCCATTGCCAGCTTGATAAGAGATCCCGTAAGAGATAGGTAAGTCTCTGGGTACGCCTGTGAGGGATTACCCAGATGAAGTGGACTCAAGTGGTTAAGACCCCACTTCAACTGTGGGAAGAAGCACCATTGCATGGGCTGGCATCCTCTTCAGACCTTAAAAGGAGAAAGTGAGCTAGCCACTAGCACTCGCCGCCTGGCTGCTTCCTGCATATGGATTCATTGTGACCAGCTGCCTCAAACTCCTGCGGCCATGACTTCCCTCCATGGTCTGCACCCTCCAACTGGGAGCCAAATTAAACCTTCCTCCCTTAGGCTGCTCTTGTCAGGGATTCTGTCCCAGCAACAAGATGATTAACTAACACAGATTATCCTTACTGAGAAGTTGGGCTGTTGCTGTAATGAACCTGGTCACAGCGTTCTTGGGTCTTCAGAACTGGTTTTGCCATTGTGCAGGGGGTAGAGGTTTGCAGCCGTGGCAACAGTGCTGAAAGCGGAGCTTAAGGGGGCGGTCTGATAGGAACTTAGAAGACAAGAATGCTGGGCTCACAAGGTTTCATAGGGGGAACAATGACACTGTTGGGCATTGGGCTAGAGGCCATTCCATGTTTGTACTCTGGTTTTAAAAGAGAAGAGGACGACTGGTGTCGGTCCCAGCGGAAGTCGTGTTGGTTTTACTTATACTTGGGATCTTGAGGTCAGACCTCACGTGGAACCGGCATCAATATGATGAGCAGACGACCAGGCCACGAGCTCTTAAAATTCCTGCCAGAAGAGTCCCAGGACCTGCCCCTGCCCAAGCTCAATGACCCAAGGCTTGTCTTCACCAGCTTCCTGGGCCACTGCGCTGGCCTGCTGGATAACACGCGAGCGTTGTGGATGAGGCCTGGGCTGAAAGCAGGTTTGCATCGCCAGCTTCTATCTGTTCCTTCCTTTTATTTTGTTGTATATTGTTTTTTAAAACACCAAGAGTATTTGCATGCTGTGAGGGACATGACATGTTTGGGTATGTGAAATGACATCCAGAGGATTTTCCTGAAAAAGAGAAGGAAACTTATGGAGAAATTCTTGAGGCATTCCATCTGGTGCGTTGAAGTCTTCAAAGGCTCCTGTTCACCACACCCTGAGTGTTTTCTGAATTTTGTGGAATATCTCTCTGTGATAGTTGAAGTTTAGGATAATCAATGTAATTAAAATAGTTACTATAAGCAGAAAAGAAAAAAGAAAGTCAGTGGGGAATGGCTCGTGCCTTTAATCCCAGCATTAGGGAAGCAGAAGAAGAGTTCGAGTTTAGGCGTGTCTACAGAGATAGGACTGCCAGGGCTATATAGAGAAACGCTGTCTTGAAACCTCCTGCTCCAAAAAGGAAAAGAAAATCAGTTTGCAAGCTTGGTGTGGTGGTATATGACTTTCACTAGGCACTTAGAAGGTAGAGGTTGGCAGAAAGTGAGTTCAAGGCCAGTCAACAGCTACACAGCAAGACCCTCTAAAAAAGGGGAGGGGTGTCTGCCCATGCCCTGATGAGATTGTGAGTGAGGCTGAATTCAGGAATGATGGTCTAGTTTCTTTGGTGGAGAAAATTTTCTGATAGCATTCCAGTAAGTTTATTCCATTCAGCATAGCTAATTCTCAGTACTCTTCTTCAGATCTACAGAGAGAAAGCAAAGAGGAAAGAAAGTAAACCCCAGCAAGGGAGGTTGTGTGAGCAAATTTTAAAGTACGGACAGACAGAGTGTGACAACAAAGCGTCTGTAGCTGCTGTGGAGATCTCTTGCTTCCTCGTTGGGACAAAAGGTACCCGAGGGCAAGCAGCCACCTATGAAAGGCACTAACTTGTCAAAATGAGCATTTATGTGAGAGGACAGAGTAAACTCACTGAGAACGTCACCGAAAACCCTCTCAAAAACAGCTGCCTAGAAGGTGATTTTGTAGATCATTCTTTGGCTCACTGACTAGCTCCTGGTCCTATGGCAACTTCCTCTGCCATGGAAGCTCTCCATCTCCCACTAATGAGACATTAAATGAGACATTTCCCATCAGATGGGTTCCATGCCCTCCTTAAGTATCCCTGGAAACCTTACCTTATGGTTCTTGTGGAATTTTTTTTTCTTACTCTTGATCTACTATGGAGAAGTGAGATAGTATCTCAAAGCCCAGGCTGGCCTAGAACTCACTTTGTAAACAAAGATGAGCTTGGATTTCTGATTCTCTTCCTGGATTATAGGCATGTGTGACCTTCCCCAGTCACGTGGGCTTTTTTCTTTTTGAAAGTAAATCTTGGATTATTTGTTTCTCGTTGGTAAATTCAGCCTTTCTATTTCCTGAATTCTTTTTGGTAATTTATATTTTTCCTGGTGATATGAATCTTTAAACTCATTGGAATAAGTGGGGATGCAGCAGCTAAGAAAATTTAACATCTCTGTATCCTGTTTTTATTTGACATGCTAGTGTGCTTTTTTTTCTTTCTGGCTTATATTTGCCAAAGGCTTTCCATGTCCTGATCTTATCAAAACACAGAATTCAGGTCACTGTTTTTGGTTTTCTATTTGATATTATCTATTTCATTTTATTAATCCCTTCCTTCTCCCTTCTCTTGTTTGTTATTCCTTTTCTGGTTTCTGAAAGTAAAGCCAAGTTCATTTTCTTTTCCTTCTTCTTTGCTTTCCAACATCTGGATTTAACATTGCAATTTTCTTCCTAATAAACAATTTTGTTATGTCTAAGTTTGGGACGCTTCATTTTGCTTGTCATTGATTTGTAGATAATTCTACTGCCTCTCCCTGTGGGAAATTAGACTTCCTTACTCCACTGATGTTAGACATGACCATGTGACTTGCTTTAATCAATAAAACATGAAAGAAATAAAGTCCATAATGGAGCCCCATTATCTTTTATCTCCATTCAGGGGAGGGGGATGCCCACCCACATGTGGATGCCAAAAATTGTTAGGTGTCTTCCTTGGCAGGGCTCCACCTTGAAAAAAAAAAAAAGCAAGCATAGCTGGGCAGTAGTGGCATGTGCCTTTAATCCCAGCACTCTGGAGGCAGAGGCAGGAGGATCTCTGTGAGTTCAAAGCCAGCCTGTTCTACACAGTGAGTTCCAGGACAGCCAGCATTGCACAGAGAAACTCTGTCTCAAAAAAAAAAAAAAGAAAAGAAAAGAAAAAGAAAAAGAAAAGCTGGGCATAGTGGCTGGCATCTTTAACCCCAGCCCTTGCAAGCAGAGGCAGGCAGATCTTTGAGTTTGAGACCAACCTGGTCTACGTAGAGAGTTCTGGATAGCCAGGGCTACATAGAGAAACCCTGTCTCAAAAATAAATTAATCAATAAAAAAATTTAAAAATTTGAGACAGACTCTCAGCACAGGCTGGTGTCAAACTTACTATATAGCTGAGTATTGCCCTGAGCTCCTATCAATGACTTTTTTGAGGGGGTGGTGATTTGTGACAGGGCTTCTCTGTGTAGCTTTGGAGCCTGTCCTGGAACTCACTCTGTAGAACAGGGTGGCCTTAAACTCACAGAGATCTCCTGCCTTTGCCTCCAGAATACTGGAATTAAAGTCACGGGCCTCTGATGCTCCCTGACTTTTTAGAGACAATGTCTCCAGCTGTCTTATCAGTGCTGGGGTTACAGATGTTGACACACTCAGTAACACTTGAAAGTGGGTCCTGGGGATTGAACTCAGGGCCTCAAGCTTGTATGACGGGAACTTCATTGACTGAGCCAGCTCTCTCCAGGTCTAATCTTTCATTTCCTTCTGCCACACACCAGCATACCCCAGACATGGCTGTTCCTTCAGCCTGCATTCCACATGAGAGACAGCAGTGAGAGTGGCGACTGGCCTGTGATCTATGGAGAGAGCTCCCTGTTGGGTCCAGCAAGGTGGCTCAGCAGATAAAGGTGGCTGATGACCTGAGTTTGATCCCTGGGACCCACATGGTGGTAAAGGAAAAAAGTGACTCCCACAAGTTGTCCTTTGACCTTCACATACAAAATGACATGTGCTACCAATAAATGAGTGAAACCTAAGAAAGAACTATTATTGTACACTTCTCACAGAGCCTTACTAGTATTTATTTCTCTGTTTTGGGGACTGTTGCACCCTTCCCCCATGGGGGGTCTCTTGACCTGATTGTGACTAGGAGCTTCTAGCAAAACACTTCTTGTCCCCCTCCTCCCAGTAAGGCCTACATGCAAGTTCCCATTTTCTTTCCATCCTTATTGTCTAAATGCTAATTCCTGGTTTTGGCCCACCCTTTGCAGGAGGGCCCTGGGAACGTAGGCTTCTGACTTTGGTGGTTTTCCACCATGCCTGCCACTAGTATATAAGGCTCCACTCTTGTTAAAATAAATGCCATTCTCCTTGTAACAATGAGCCGCTATCTTTGTCTTCATTTACATCCTTAGCCCTTCGCCTAGGATCGTTGTTAAGTGTTGTAGCCTCGAACACCAACTTGCTACAGGGAGGGGAGGGTTCTTGATGAAACTACGTCTTGAGTGAACTAGGCAAGCACATGTCCACTGATCCAGACCTCCAGCCTTGCCGTGTACAGGTCTCTCTTTCTTAATTTTTTTTTTTTATTTTAAGACATTTCACTGTATAGCCTAGACTGGTTTCTATCATACACTCCTCCCGCCTCAGTCCTCCTATCTAATATGCATTTCTAAAGAATCAGGACAGTGGGGCTGGAGATGGCTCGGCAGTTATGAACATTGCTGCTCTTTCAGAAGACCAGAGGTCAGTTCCCAGCACCCACACAGGGACTCACACCTTTCTGTAACTCCAGTTCCAGGGGATCTAACACCCCCTTCTGGCCTCTGTAGGCACAGCAGTTATGTGGCACGTGGATATACATGCATACAAAACATCAATGCACATAGAAAATAAAAAAATTAAAAATAAACAGTGTCCCTGACAATATAGATTCCAACCCTATGGAATCATAGTCCAAATAAAATCTTTCTTCTGTAAGTTGCCCTGGCCATATCACAGCCACCAATGGAAAAATAACTAATATCATCAGGTTGGCCCAGAACTCGATATGCAGCCCTTGATGATCTTGGGCTTGCAATCTTTCTCCCTCAATCTCCTAACTGATGAATGGGATCACAGAAGTGTGCCACCACACCCGGCTGAAGTTTATTGTTTGAAGGTGATATTGGAAGGACAGCACCCCCTGGCTTGTACCTGCAGGAGAGAGTAGAGACTTTCTTAGAAATAAGGACTTTGAATAGTGGTGCAAAGCTAGATGAGGCAGATTCTTAAACTCCAGGCTAAACAGTGAAATGCGACTTGGAACATTGGAGCTACTGTTCTGTTCTCAGCAAGAAGTTGAGGAGGAGGCAATTAATGCTATGTTCTTTTTGCACTGGTTTATTTTCTTTTAAATGTGGATTTTATACCCCCCCACACACTTTTTGATTTTTGGTTTTTTGACACAGGGTTTCCCTGTACAGCTCTGGTTGTTCTGGAGCTCATGCTGTAGACCAGGCTGGCCTTGAACTCAGAGATACACCTGTCTCTGCCTCCTGAGTACTAGGGATTAAAGGCATGTGCCACCATCACTGAGTTTAGGCTCAGAAACCTGTCTTCCTATTTTGTAAGTGATGATTAATATACAGGGATTATTAAAAACATTAAGACATAAAGGTCATAGAAAACTAGTTGGAAAGCCAGGCATTGGTGGTGCACGCCTTTAGTCCCAGCACTCGGGTGGCAGAGACAGGCAGATCTCTGTGAGTTCGAGGCCAGCTTGGTCCAGGACAGCCTCCAAAACAATACAGAGAAACCCTGTCTCAAAAAAAAAAAAAGAAAAAAAAAAGAAAAAGAAAACTAGTGGGAACTAGATTGAACTGGTTGGAACTGGATTAAACCAGTCAGAACAGGTCTGACCAAGTCTGAACTGAATTGAGCTGGTCAGAACCAGTTGGGACCAGATTGAGCCTGTTGGGACCGGACTGAACCTTACTGAACCAGTCTGAGCTGGTAGGATTGGTCAGAACCAGACTGAACTGAACTGAACACACTTCCTCAGAAGCTCCTGCAGACTGTTTTCTACCCCTGCACAGCTTGGACTTACCTCACTTGAAGGGAGTATGCATCCTTATTCCCTGATTCAAAACTATGTCAACTGTGACTCTGTTTACGAAATACTTCTCTTTGTAGACTCTGAGGTCACGTCTCTGGATTTCTTAGCCCACACAAACAGGTCAGCACCCGCTTGCCAATGCCTTGGCCGGGACTGCCTCTCCCCTCAGTGACCTTGACCTCCCACCGTGTCAGAGGCCAGCTCATTACTCACCAGTTCCATTTGTTCCTCTCTCTTCTCTGAGTTAGGTGTGGCTTCACGGGTGAGTTCTGGACATATAGTCCCCAGCCTGCACACTCATGTTCTTCCAGTCAGATGGAGAATGCCAGAAGTGGGTGGTGAGGCCTTGGAGCAACACCGGTGGAGAACTCACACCACAGATTTGAAAGCCAGAAATAAGCCTGCTCCATACCCCTGCCTGCCCTCCCTCAGCTCTCTCCTCGCCTTACCCTCCTCCACTCACTCCCTTTCCCTTTTCTGTGGTAACAGCACTCCCTTCTTTGGCCCCAACCCTTATTATCTGTGGTATTTTTTTTCTTTCCAACCTTCAACTCCTTGCCCCTGCCTCTTTCCAAATCTGGCAAAGCCAGAGGGAGACTAACTTTCTGCCTGTGCCCAGCTGTGTTCACACAGGGTACACATCCAGACCCTGCCTCTCTGGAAATGAATGAACAAATAGCCCCTGAGGCCAGGCTTTGTTGAGTACTGGCAAAAGACCTCCCACGCAGCTACCGGAGCTTTCTTTCCACTTCTCACGTCTTTACTCTTCCACTTCTCCTTTCCCTCCCCTGAAGGGACCAGCGCCCCTACCCCCAACTTTAGCAACCGTGACAACTTGCAGAAAAGACATGTAGGCCTCTGACCCAGCACATGTCTGACCTTGCTGGCCTGCTCTAGTCACTAGGAGGTCAGATGCCCTCCTCGTGGCAAGGAACCAATCAGAAGTTAGATGGCAGGACTCTGGGTGGGGTTTATCGCTCTGGGCGAGCTTTACAGTGAAGTGCAGAGCATAGCAACCACCCTGGGAGGGTCTATAAACCATAACAACCAGTTGACCAGTCAACACAGGACAGGTCATCTAAGCCCAGAAATTTACCAATCCTGAGACTGTTGTGTACCCCTAGACATACCCCTTATGCTGTCCAAAAAGTTCCCTGCCTTGTAGTTCCAGGGGGCCTCTACGCCATGATGAGCAGACGAGGCGCTAATGGGGTTAGCTCATTAAACAATAAAAGAAACCCTTGTTCTTGCATTCACACACACACACACACACACACACACACCCCACAATTTAAAATTTTTTCATTCAGGATGTTTTGATCATATTCTTTCCTTTTCCCTAATTCCTCCTAGGCCCTCCACTTTGCCCATCTATCCAACTTCATGTTCTTTCTGTCTCTTAAAACAAAACAAAACTCATTTCTTGTTTCCATGTGTAGCTCCATTCTTCACTTCCCTTTACAGTAACATTCTGGAGTTTTCTAACTTCTGTTTTCACTCCCTTTCCTTCTCTTCTCCCTTGAGTTCACTCTAGTCTTTGCTCATCTCTTCCTCTCTACCTAAATGGCACTTGCAAATGTCAACAGGGACTTTACAGTGCTAATTCACTGAGAGTTTCCGTCCCTTCTGGTCCTCACTGTGCTTAAGCAACATTTAACACACAAGATCCGCTCTCCTTTTATTTTGTCATTGGTTTTCTGGGAATTTACCTCCTTGATACTCACTCCTCTTTATCCACCATCACTGCTGGTTTTTTGTCTACTCAACACAAATTTGAGGGTTTTTGTTTGTTTGCTTGTTTTTGTGTGCCCCCCCCCCCAGAGTTTCTCTGTATAATAGTCCTGGCTGTCCTGGAACTTGCTTTGTAGACTAGGCAGGCCTTGAACTCACCGAGCTCTGCCTGCCTCTGCCTCCCAAGTGCTGGGATTAAAGGTGTGCAACTCCACTGCCCAGGAAGGGAAGAGGGAATCTTAATTGAGAAAAATGTCTTCATAAGATTGGTCTGTAGGTAAGTCTGTGCAGTAACGTCTTGATCGGTGATTGATCTGGGAGAGCCCAGTGTGCCTGGGCAGGTGGTGCTAGGTTACCTAAGAAAGTAGGTTGATGAGGAACAAGCTAGTAAGCTCATTTCTCCATGGTCTCTGCATCAGTTCCTGCCTCCAGGTCTTTTTGCTTTGAGCTCCTGCCCTGGCTTTCCTCAGTGAAAGAGTGTGACCTGAGAGCTGTAAGCTGAAATAAACCCTTTCCTCAACAAGTTGCTTTTAGACATGCTGTTTTATCACAGCAATAGAAATTCTGGATCCAACCTCAAGGCTTGAAATACCACCCATCTGCTGATTTCTTTCAGATTTTAGTCTAAACTTCTGCACTGATGTTAGCTTGTGTGACCTCACCCCAACTTCTTCCTATTGTGGGAATTACTATAACTATGTAAAGATGTGTTACATTTGTTTAATGATGTAAGGATGTGTGTTTAATTATGTAAAGATGGGTATTTTTGTTTCTCCTTACCTGTCTAAAGCACCAGCTAATAAAAAACTGAGCAGCCAGTAGCTAGGCGGGAAAGGGATAGGCAGGGCTGGTGGTCAGAATAAATAGGAGAAGAGAATGAGGGACACACCTGGACTAGAAGCCAGACAGCTGCCAGGCAGCCATGGAGACAGCAGGAAAGTAAGATATACAGAGAGAGAAAGAGAGAGAGGCAAAATATAGATAGAAACAGGTTAAAATGAGAGCCAAGGTAAGAACGACATTCATAACTAGTAAGTTTCCATGTCATGATTTGGGAGTTGGTTGGTGGCCCAAGAGAAAGCCTGCTACATCTTTCCCTTGCTTATGTGCTCCAGCTTTGCAGGTCCCTGTTTGCTTCGAAAGTCCCAGTCCAGCCCAGCCTCACTTAGAGTCTGTTCTTGCTGTCTCCTCTGTCTAGAGCACTCCTTCCTGAATGTAAATGTGCATGTGGCTGGATCCTCATCATTCAGGATTGAAAGAACAAACAGGTAGATAATTACATGACTTGAAAGTTATACTTATATTGCATTGATAATAGTATATTACTAATTATCCATCTAATCTACTCATATATATACACATATATATATGTATATATCCTTGACTTTGGTTGCATAATACTTTGGAGAGATTTTAATCTTCAAGAAACCAAATAGCGCTAGGCAGTGGTGGCGCACGCCTTTAATCCCAGCACTTAGGAGGCAGAGGGAGGTGGATCTCTGTGAGTTCGAGATCAGCCTGGTTTACAAGAACTAGTTCCAGGACAGTTTCCAAAGCCACAGAGAAACCCTGTCTCATAAAACAAAAAAACAACAATAACAACAAAAGAAACCAAATAGCTAGGCTGAAGGCCACTTTCTATCTTCAGGGTGTTTTGCTTTAAATCAGAAACTAGACATTATAAGTCACAGTCTCAGCCAGGTGGTAATGGCATTGATATAAGTCCTTAATCTCAGCACTGGGGAGGCAGAAGCAGGCAGAACTCTATGAGTTCCCATCCAGTCTAGTCTACATAGTTCCAGGACAGCCGGAGCTATACTGAGACCTTGTCTTAAAAGAAAAGAGGGAAAAAAGGAAGTTATAATCTCATTTTGTTTTGATTTTTTGAGACAGGTTTCTCTGTGTAGCTTTGTAGAGACCAGGCTGTCCTCAAACTCACAGAGATACACCTGCCTCTGGCTCTGAGTGCTGGGATTAAAGGCATGTGCTACCATCACCCTGGCTGTTGTGTGCATGTGTGTACAAGTGTGTTACAGATGGGGTCCAGTTGTGTGCATATGTGTGTTATTCATGAGGTCCTGTGTGTGTGCATGTGTGTTATAGATGAGGTCCTGTGTTGTGTGCATGTGTGTTATAGATGAGGTCCTGTGTTGTGTGCATGTGTGTTATAGATGAAGTCCTGTGGGGTGCATATGTGTGTGCATGTGTGTTATTCATGAGGTTCTGTTGTGTGCATGTGTATTATAGAATAGATCCTATTGTGTGCAAATGTGTATGCATGTGTGAAATAGATGAGGTCCTGTGTTGTGTGCATGTGTGTGTATGTGTGTTATAGATGAGGTCCTATTGTGTGCAAATGTGTATGCATGTGTGTTATTCATGAGGTCCTGTTGTGTACATATATATACAGATACAGATACATATACATGTATATATATGCATGTGTGTGTGGGAACTGGGGATCAGCATAATTATCCTCCTGATTTCACTAAGCCAGGAGACTGCTCAAGCAATTTCATTAAATTTAATGAATCTCATTAAAGAATAGTTGTTTCCGTCCAGAACTGGATTCCTGTGCAGCCACAGAGAAAATGGAGACTCCCAGGCTGGCATTGCCAAGACAGTTTGTGCATGAAGGGAAGCGACTGCTCTTCCCTCCCTGAGGGAGACCCGGGGCTTTATTGTCTAAACATAGTAAAAACCTGTAAGAAATAAATAATGATCTCTTCCCTCTCCCCTGTCTCCTCCTCTTTCTCCTACCTCCCTCCCCCTCCCCCTGCTCCCAGGAGATCTTGTCCCTTTCCCCTTCTCCGGAGATCCATGCATGTCTTTCTTAGGGTTCTCCTTGTTTCCTAGCTTCTCTGGGGTTGTGGATTGTAGGCTGGTTATCCTTTGCTCTATGACATGAAGGATGAGGAAGGTCTAGTTGGGGGAAGAACAGAGAAGGAGAGCAAGGAAAGAGACACCTTAATAGAGGGAGCCATCTGGCACTAGGGAAATCTCCAGATATCCACAAGAGTGACCCCAACTAAGACTCTAAGCAATAGTGGAGAGACTACCTTAAATGTGATTCCCCTATATGAGATTGATGACTACCTTAAATGCCATTATAGAGCCTACACCCAGTAGATGATGGAAACAGAAGCAGAGATTCACAGCTAAGCACTGGCCTGAAATCCTAGAATCCAGTGTAGAGAGGGAGGAGTGATGAGCAAAGGGGTCAAGACCATGCTGGGGAAACCCACAGAAACAGCTGTCCTGAGCAAGTGGGAGTTCACAGACCCCAGTCTAACAGCTGGGGAACCAGCATAGGACTGAACCAGGCCCCCTTGAATGTGGTTATCAGTTGGGGGACTTGGACAGTCTATGGGGCCTCTAGAAGTGGAACCAGTATTTATCCCTAGTGCACAAATGGGCTTTGGGAGCCCATTTCCCATGGAGGGATATTATCTCAGCCTCAAATGTTATGACAGACTTAGATGATCCCCCATGGGAGGCCTCACCCTCCCTGAGGAGTGGATGGGGCTGGGATAGGGGGGTTGGTTGGGAGAATGGGAGGACATTTAATTAAAAAAAAAAAAGGAATAAGTAATGAGTGCCATGAACCTGCTGGT